CTGCTGCTCTTATCCCCCTCCCCATTCCGGTTCCCCCCCATCCCCGCCAGGCACAGGGTCCTGGAGCACTCCACTGCCTTCGCCGCTCAGTCACTGCAGTCTTGTGTGAGGGTGCATGGATGGTTACGTTACAAATTATCAGCTGGGCGTTGGCTGCGCATGCCTTTGATCCCAGCACTGGGGAGGCAGAGGCAGGTGGATCTCTGTGAGTTGAAGGCTACAGTAAGAGCGAGTTCCAGGACAGGCTCCAAAGCAATACAGAGAAACCCTGTCTCTAAATAAATAAATAAAAGTTACCAATCATCAGCTTCCATAGATGGCTTCAGACCCCACTCTTCCACGCTGTCGCTGCCATCCAGACTGAAGAAGAGCCCCTTAGGGTCTGCCGGTATTTCTCGAGGGAAGTGTGTGTGGGAAGCAGACACTCCGCTTCCTTCAGAGGCCCCAGGCAGGCGCGAAAGGCACCGCAGAGGCTGCGCAGGCCCAGGTCCACCCAGGAGATGTGTTAGACACCAGAGGCGGGCTATGACATCTTCAGCTTTAGCAATCACCATCTGGAACTTGTGGCGTTTAGCTCTGTAGAACGAGAGATGTCATAGCATGGCTCGGTCCCACGTGGTCCGCTATCACTCCCGACTCTGTCTTTAGTGTATTACCACACGTTCATGTGGGTCAGAGCCCTCTATAAATATCCAAGCTCGGAACCTAAGCCTATTTCACATAAAACACAAAGTCACCCCTGCTCTAGTAACCCATCCTTGTAGTACCAAAATATGTTAAAAAAAAAAACAAAACAAAACAAAGCTAAGTCACCCCTGGGCACACACTGCTTACTTATATGGCTTACTAACAAAAACGGGAGCAGTTTACTTATCACTATAAGTAAAAGGAGGTTCGCGGGTGTTAACAAAAGACCAGTGGTTAGTTAGGAACTATACATGCCTTCTAAAAATTTACTCACAGAAATTGAAAGTAAAATTTTAAAGGAAGTGAGGGTTAGTCACCCAGAGAACATCGTCACAGTTGCCTCTGTGACCCTGTAACCAAGAAGGACTGTCTTAGGGTTTCACTACGTAAAGAGAGAGAAAGGCCATGCCCAGCCCCGGGAAAGGGATTCCTATGATGTGTGATGTCTTGAGAATTTAGCAGCTACCACAACCATTCAGCGGAATGGCCACGTCTCCTTTATAAAAACACTTTGCAGTGGATCCAATGTGTGAATGATAGAATTCAACCATGCAAATCACTCAGCGCTCATGAGCGGAGCAGGGCTCTGGTGACCTAGCTGAAGTCACTCGGCCACTGTCGGAGGCTTTGTTTTTCTATCTCTAGGGTGGACACATGGCTACTGACCAATGGCAACTCTGACTACCCTGAAAATAGCTAAATGACCACAGGTTACCAGGCAGCTGCCTTCTGATGTCATTCCCCCAAATGTCATCTCCTTCTAGCGCTTTCCAGCTAACCATGACATGTACGCAGCAGCAAAGTGTTACAAAAGACCTAGGTTCCTATTTAGAACTTGTCTCTTCATAAAAACAAAACAGTCTTGAGCAAAGCTCCTCACATCAGTGGTACTCTTTCACATTTGGCAGGGGACACGGGTTCAAACACATCATCCATGTATGTCAGGCTCAAACACTACTCTTTACGATGAGCGTCCGCAGGCATAAAAACATGCTGATAGAGAGTCAACGCGACTGTAATTTTTATTGTAACAGCGCCGGAGAAGTAGAGCCTGATGTCAGGTTAGGGTAAGAGAACAAAATGGAGCATCCACCACCCCACCCCCCCCACCCCCACCCCTCACCCCCCACCACCCCCCACACCCCACACCCCACACCCCCCACCACCCCCCACCCACCCCACCCCCACCACCCCCCACCCCCCCCACCCCCCACCACCCCCCACCACCCCCCACCACCCCCCACCACCCCACCCCCCCACCACCCCCGCTTGTTGCCCTGCAGTAGTCATGTTTAGAGGCACGAGACGATAGTATAAAGCTGTGTTCCGGCGGCAGAGAAACTGATGGTATTCAGCATCTGGGGGTTGCAATCTTGTCTTGTTTTAAAATTGATATTATAATTGTATGGAGTCCTTCAAACGCTACGTGGGTGACTGTGGCAGGGTTAGATCCCCACTTAGGTTATAGAGCTAAAAGTCTCAAGTTACTCGGCCATATTTGTCAGCTTAACACTGCGGGTTCCTCTGCCCGATGAACTCCCTGCCTCCGCAGCTCCTGTCTCCTTGTTTAGGATTCGATGGGACCTACCTTTAGACATCTTTATTCTCTTCCAACTGTGTCTCGTGAGAAGCATGCTCGAACTCACTAAGTTCTTTGTCAGGAATTCGGAATGTGGCCAGTTACTTGTCAATCATTAAATACAATGTTGTTTTCAAATTAGTTTTATTCTCTGTGTGTTTTCCTTTTTTTTTTTTTTTTTTTTTTTTTTTTTTTTTGCTATGTTTTGTTATTTGAGACAGGACTTCGTATGTACTCCTGGCTGGCCTGGAACTCACTATGGAAAACAGTCTGGCCTCAACTCAGATATGCCTGCCTCAAATTTACGAGTGCTGGGATTGAAGGTCTGTATCGAAATTTTTAAATGAACTCCTAAGAAGAACTCTTGCTAATGAGATACATTTGCCTACTTACTATTTTTTTATTACTGATTTTTTTTCATGGCAAGTGCTTTTTTCCTATCATTATTATTTTGTTTTTTGGTTTTTTTTTTTTTTTTCAAGATAGGGTTTCTCTTTGTAGCTTTGGTTGCCCTGGCCCACTTTGTAGACCCCACTAGCTTCGAACTCAGAGATCTGCCTGCCTCTGTCTCCTTACTGCTGAGGTTAAAGGTGTGTGCCACCACCGCCACCCAGCTCCAATTAGTATTATTTAAAATGCTGCCCTTTTGTATTAAGTTTCTAAAATGTTGATGGCGCAGCTTACTTCCTGCACCAGAATTTGTATATTACCCGTTGATCATCATCTGGTGGGAAGCATTATTGGTTAAATACCAGATTGCATTACAAGCATGGCAGGCCCAGTTTCTGGAATAGTTGGTAGACTCTAAGATGGGAAAAGGGAGATAAACAGCTTTGATTTACACCCTTTGGGGGAACCCTCTCCAGCTGTGGCATTGACCACATTCCTTCTCTGTGCCCTCTGCTGCTCTATGCCCACCTGCTAACCAAAGGCTCCCCTCTGAGCTCTGCCCTCGGCCTCTGGCATTGATGGTCATTACACAAAGACACTTTAGGTTTTCTTAGAGGGAAATTGTTTTCAGTATTTAATGAAGGAAAAAAACCATGAGGATGGAATGGAATTGGGGTGGGAAGGATCTTGTTTGGTTTGGTGTTTTGGATTTTTGATTTTCATACACATCTGTATATATGTTATATGCACGTGTGTATTTATTTACATGTGTGTATGAAACTGGTGAAGGTACCAAGTCTGACACTGGCGATGTCCTTCAGCCCGTCTCCAGCTTATTTGCTGAGGCAGGATCTTGCAGTTGAAGCCAGGACTCACAGGTTCAGGGAGACTAACTGGCCAGCTTGCTCTAGGGATCCCGTTTGTTAGCTTTGTGAGGGTGCGGGAATTAAACCCAACCAGCACTCACATGTGTTCTGGGGGCCCAAATGCTGGTCCCCACACTTTACAGCCAGTATTTACTGCTTAGCCACCTCCCCAGCCCTCACACGCGTGCTCTTTATAAGCAAGTGTGCTCTTTAAAGAATCTGTTCAGTGATTTGAATGAAAAATTGTCCTGGCCTATTTTCTAAGCCATCGTTTTCCGATCCATGCATGAAATAAGTTGTCATTACTCTTCAGAATTCGAATCAAGAAGGCCCTTCAGTTCTCATAGCTTTTTTAAAAGAATGAAAAAGGCATTTATTGTCAATTTGAAGTATGCACAAGAGTGTGTGTGTGTGTGTAGGATCTCACTATGTACCATTGACGGGCCTGCCTCTGCCTCCCAGGTGCTGGGATTAAAGGCGTGGGTACCATGGTCAGCCTTTTAGAGATATTCTCGAACTATAAAATCTTAGCATTATTTTCATTTCTAAATTAGTACAGAGTTTGGTTATTTCTGAGTGAGACATGGTGCACACATGTAATTCCAGTACTTTGGGGCCAGGGGCAGAAGGATTGGCCACAAGTTTTAGGGGTTCTGGAACAGTCGGGGCTACCTACAGAGACCCTGTTTCAAAAAGCAAAAGCAAACAAACAGATAGGTCACAACAAGAGCCCTTTGTAGTTTGGATACATCCCCTTGCTGAGGTGAGATGGTTGGGATAGTGTGGCTTTGCCCTGCTGTGCGTGAATGAGAGAGGAGCTGGAAGAAGTCTTTACCCCATCTCTTGAGAGCGTGCAGGCCCTAGCTGTGTGACACTGATTTAGTCAGGGGTTCGAGCCTTCCCTCCCAGGTAGTCCAGGACTGGAGAGGAAGAAGGCTTGAGACTCATGCATATGTGTAAATCTGGTAATTTATCTAGACCCGTCTGGGCAGCCTTGAGGACCACCTATACCTTTAGCTCCCGTTCTTTCCTCCACAGGATCCTTTCCCGGCTCTCAGAAAGGTGCACTAGAAGTTAAAGGAGCGACAGGATAAGATCACGGACATTGGTTTCTTTCTGGGTTGTCTTGTGTGGTTGATAGGATCCACACTTTGTCGGGGTAGGACAGCAGATGTTGCATGACTGACAGTGGCTAGAGTAAGTGGAATCTTAGGTGTTCTTATGTGAGTCTCCCTGCACCATGGTTCATGCAGTTCTTTCTCGGACTTCATAAGAGCTAGCACCCCAGCAGTTGAGTGCAAAATCAGAATGGTGCGTCACAAGCAGGTCAGCGACGCCCAAAGGAAACAAACATTCCCAGGGTCACAGCATAAAACCCTGTTACAGCGACAGCTGTGGGCAGAGTCTTAGGAATGCCCGCACATGGCTGCTCATATACAGCCACTGACATCTCTGTCTCTCTCTTTTTCTCTCTTCAGATCAAGAAGTATTTTGAACTTGAACCACTCGCACGTGGAAAACGCTGGATTCTGCAGCCCTGCTCGCTAGATGACATGAACGCTCTGAAAGACAGCTTCTCCCAGCTCATAAACTTGTTAGAAGAAAGGGACCTCGAGGCACTGAGGATGTGAGCCCTGGCACAAACGTCCCCCGGAGCCTCGAACCGTCATGTTGGCTTCCCATTCTGACTTCATGTTGGTGTCGAGGCTCTCGTGGCTTCGGCATCTGTTTCCTCTCGCTATCTCGGACTTTCATCTCTTCTGTTAAAAGCGACTGTTCTGTAAGTCAGGTGAATTATCGTCGGCATTAATGTCAAGTACACACTACTGAGGGAGAAGTCGTTCTCCGTTTACCACTAATTATGTGCACCGCACGTCTCTTCCTTCTGTGGGTCTAAGAATCTCTTCCGTACTCTGTGCTAAAATGGATGGAACTGGCGGCTCATGGAAAGGGGGCCCCTTCCGAAGAGCTCAGAGAAACTTAAGTACCCTCACTAACTGTCCCCTGGCTTGAGCTTAGAGGGTCGAACTGAGACTCCACACTGCGTGTGTGCTATTCCAATTTCCATGATCTAAGGGTTTGAGTTTTTTTACATCTTATTTCCTCATGTCTATCTCTCGTGTGTGTGTGTGTGTGTGTGTGTGTGTGTGTGTGTGTGTGTGTGTGTATGTGTGTGTGTGTATTGTGGGCTATGAATGAATGATTGACCACCCAAAACTTCACCCAGCCATCTTTTCATAAGACTGGCTGGGAAGAACGTTGAAAGCAGATGTGCAAAGCTGGCTGGACTCCGCCTGCAGCCTGAGGAGGAAGGCACTCTAGCTGAGGGAGCTGGAACAAATTTAGGCACAGGCATCGCTGATCCCATTTGATCAAGTCCTCAAGTGTTTCTTAATGGAGTCTGCAAAAGCCAATCTGCAACGTAAGCATTTGTTTTTTTCCTTAAAAAAAAAAAATCAGAAATGAGTGAATGAAATCAAGACGATGGCTTTTCAAACAATAAACATAACAGACAAAGTCTAACTCCCAGTTAGGGTTTAAGCTGTCTTAGATATGATGAAGCTCAGAGGAGCCCTGTTTGTTACTCCTTCATCAAAGCTCTGGTGTCGTTTCGGGGAGTCTGCTCGGGCCGATTCAGTAGCTAGAGGCCTGTCAGTATTCCTATTTTAAACCTCTATTCTCAGGGGTGTTGGTTTGCCCTTAGAGTGTGCTGGGCTACAGCAAATAAATAAGGGCCTAGACTCAGTCTTTGAAACTAATTTTTTTTTCAACTTAATATAAATGATAAAATTGCATAGAGCAATGTACAGTTTTAGTAAGATTTCACACCTTTGACCTTTTCTAAGTCGGGAATAATCTATGAATGTCGAAGTTCATGGACGAAATATTCATTGGCACATCTTGTAAACTTTGGGCCACATATCGAGTATATACTAAGTGGCCAAATGATAGAAAACTGCTCCTTACACCCAAGCAATAAAAACGTGTCATTTTTTAGGTAGTGTAGATCAGTGCCTACATGCCCCAGAGTCAATGCCCTATTTATTACGGGGTGACAGGAAACCTTGTTACTCTCCGGAGGACAGACTTCAAGACCCTCACAGTGCTCAGATGTAGAGTTTGATTTCATCTTGGAAATGGATTTTAATAAAGTAATCCCACACTTCTTTAAGCTTTTCAGGGAAAAAAAAAAAATACATATAGCTTAGACCAGAGAAGGGTCCACGATGATTCATTTGCCTAAAGTATCCCTGAATATTTCTAACCGTGTGATGATCCACGGATAGCACAAACCTTTAGTTATGATGACCCAGTTACATAATTCCCGTTTTCATTTTATCTGTGAAGATAAATATATAAATGATTGGGGGGGGGGGGAGGCTTTGCCCTCTCTGCAGCTTCATTAAATGTAGAATGTTGTCTCTTTTTGAAGATACTGTGGCTGAGTGCTCCTTACCATCTGTTAGATGACTTCCTTCCTGTTGTCTGTGTGTGTTCATGTGCGCCAGCCATGGGCTTCCCCCCCCAGCCCGGAGACTGCCTCAGCGTCGCCGCCGCCGTCACAATGAAAACATTATCAATCAGTACCCAACAGCAGCTGTTTTTTGACAAGTTTCTGTCTGACGCCCGATGCTTTACAACTGTCAATAAGACTCTTTCTTTGTCTAGCAGGTCGGCGTGCCCTGTCTTACTGCCCCTCTTAGCATCCTGTCTCTGTAACCCTAGAATTTGCTGTGTTTGGGAAACCCCCGTGGGGGAGGGGAGAGGGGCGGGGAGGGGCTGTGCGGCTCATGTAAGGTTGCCACAGGTGTCTTAGTTTGCATATTCAAATATATAGGAAAACACTCTGTTATGTATTCCTTCAGTTAGCATCTTGTTATATTTATGGAAGTCACCCATTTTTGTACCTTCTTAGCTGAAGCAGTTGCCTTTTTTTATACTGGCAATTAATTTATATAAGACTTTGTATCTGCCGTAGTTTACAGTATTGGTTGCTGGGTAACTGCCATATTACCCTGTCTTTCTATTGAGATATAATCTATACTTAAAAGTTGACAGGTTCACGTGGACATTTGCTAGGCAAGAAGAACTTCGCCTGGTCTGTGATTTATATGATTTCCACTATCTTGCAATGAAAATAAATGCTTAGTAGAACTGGTGTTTCCAGCCTGATTCTTTTCAGCCTTAGCATTTAAGAGCTCCAGAATTCTGTTTACTTTGTGTTACTCATTTGAGTCTTCAAAATGAGTTCTGTTGCTTTTGAGTCAAAACAAATGATTAATACGATTCTTTTGAAGCCATTATGAGAAGAAGAAAAAGAAGCCAGGGGTCCTTTCCAGTTGGTTCTGCCTGAACATCAGTTTACTTCCCTCAGAGCCATTCCTTCAAGGGAGCAGAGAGACTGGAGATGTGGTGTGTCACCCTCCAATCAAAGCATCGTCCCTTGTCATCTGCAAGTTGAACGCAATGAGCTCCTTCTTCCCGTGGTTTTTGGTGCCCTTAGAGAATGGATGGGTAGTCTTAATGAACTTAGGAAGATGTGCTGTCCGTCCTGAAGAATGAATGAGAAAGAAACTGGAAGATAGGAGGACAGAAGATGGGGGGGTGTGTTGGGGGCATCATGTGACAAAAAGAAGAAATTCAAACTCATGCTCTGCCAAGCACAATATCATCCTGACACATACCGCTTAAGCTACAGAATTCAAAACCGTCTCTTCTGAGTTGGACACCTACCTCATCATCTCAGACCTACCTAGGCAGGTGCGGACAGAATGCAAGATTTTGAAGCAAATGGGTGATTTTTTTTTTTTTTTTTTATGCCCAGATTGCAGACTCAGACTCAAGTGGAAATGTAATATTCATGTTGGCTTGATCCAGTGTTAGAAGGCATCTTCATTAATCAAACCAAAACGAAAGGGAATTTGTGGGGTTGCTGGGCTGGGAGTGAGTATAGACTCTTTCAGTGTCTGGAAGGGAGGAAAAGTCTTTGTTATGAAGGAACTCTGGGATACTGGTCCCCTTGCTCTGCATGCAGCCTGGGTGGGGAGAAACCTGAGGTTCAGGTTGTGAAGTGTATTACCACATCTTGTAGGGGAATCCCTGGCTCCTACGGGTGCAGGACTTCTGGTCAGCACTGAGTCGGTGTGATTAAATGATTTGCATCTCTGGGCTAAACATTTCCAACTCAGATGCCTGAAATGAGAGATGAGCCGGGGTTTGTCACTGCCGGTCCTGCACCCTCCCACTATTTCAGAAGTATGCAAAGCGTCCCAGTAGGACTCGGCCTCCTCAGATGGCAGATCCATTCCTCGCCCCCCCCCCTCCTACTTTCTTTGAATTAAAACCCTTCCATGAAAAGCTGCCCGCCCCCACAACCCCTGCTGTGCCATCAGACCTGGGGATTGTAACTTCCCACCACCAGCAGTCCTTTGTGTGACGGCCCGCGAAGCCAAGCTAGAGTTTCAAAGTCACAGAGAGGAATCTCTCCAGCATATGCCATGCCTGGCATCCGTGCTTTCCTACAAAATAAGGCTGCAGCCCCATTTCCTCTGTAAGGACACAGGACGCCCCTCACTCCAGCTCTGCCCATTCGTGGTGATCTGATTTCAAAAGGCCACCTACCGAGTTCTCAGACGTCCCTCTTCCCTTTTCTTAGGCATGAATAATCCCTTTACAAGACACTACTGTAGGTCTTGCGTTTTCAGAGTGCGTTTGCTTGCCCTGTATACTCTGTTGGCTTGACATTTATACTTTGTGAGGTCACGGGTAGGTACCTGTGAGAGAAGAGGGTACCTTTTAGATCGAATGCCTTGTTGGTCTCAGCCAGGTTTCTGTCCCAGCCTGGCTTCTGACCCCTTCTTTCTGGTACTCTAGACCATCGTGGCCACAGCCATTGACCGGCACCTTCGAAAAGGATTATCTGATGCACACTATCCAAGAATGGAGAAATTTCCTTGTTCCTTTTTCAAAAAACTCTTACTCTGTCTGAATCTTTCAAAATACTCCACACTGGCATTTCAGTGAGGTTCTTTGGACAGCATCATTCCAGCCATGGAGAGGAGTGGGTTGTGTGTTCCCTAGAGGAAAGAAAGGTCTCTGGGGACAAGAACAAAATAAGCCTTGAATAGCCATCAGGTTCCCCCCCCCCTCTCTCTCTCTCACACACACACACACACACACACACACACACACACACACACACACACACATTTCCCTGCTTCCTTGTGGACACTGGGAGCTCTTTGGGAAAGGAAGCCTAAGATCCCTCACAGCCAGCCTCCCTGAAGGTGTGAAAGGCAGCTTCACAAGCCCCAGCCCCTCTGACAAGTGATTCATTGAGACCCAAGCTGGAGCTCCAGCATCAAACAGATGTCAGACGAAACACCAAATGCCTGTAAATGATGGCTTTGCAAGCACTGGAATGACTGACTAAAGGGCCTGGCCTAACGATGCTCCCCATGTCTGGACAGGTTTACAGAAGACTTGGGGGTGGGGCCGGGTTTTAAACAGTCTAGGGAGGAGAGGCTGTCTCTGGGTGAGGAAAGAAGCCTGGGTTCTCACCTGAGAGGCTTCTGTGGGATTGAGTGCCGTCTTGTTTGGCTTGTGGGCAGTGTGTAAGGGTCCAGCTGAAAAGTGCATGACGGAG